ACAGGCATACCCCCTGCCCCACCTTACTGTCAGACGGACGGCAGGGCTCTTCATGCAAGCGCCTCCTTGTTTCACAGAGCCTCGCAAACTGCTTACAATCATGCTGAGGATGCAGCAGGCTAGAACATCTTGTCGGTAAATAAGAACAGTGAGGCGAGGGGGAAACGTGGCTGGAAGAGTCGGAGGAAAAAGGAGCGTGGTGTATCTTCACTCACTCGTCCTGTTCCGCTCGGGACTCGCCTTGTCAATCGATTTGAATTCTGGCACTTAATCGTCCTGTGTTTGTACTTTGTCTTCTCAACTCCATAGAAAAATCTTTTGTTGTGATTTCTTCTGCTCCTCATTATTTTCTCTCCCTTAAAATATACCATTTTTTCTTTTCCGTGGTGATTTTTCGTAGTGCTAACCACCTCCCCCTTTGCTTCCCCACTGGTAGGGCCTCAGTCTGACCCACCTCAGCATAGTGACAGATTCAGAACCTCTGCACAGCAGGTCCTCAAGTATTTGTGAGTGAGAGGCTTAGCCAGGGCTGAGTCACTCACACCCTCCTCTGTAGCACTCGGCCAGTGACACAGCCTCAGCAGGGGCTCAGGACACGGGTTGCCAGCTTGATTTATGAGACTTATTGTTCTAAGTGGCGGCAGAGAATAGATATTGATTTAAAAGTGTTTAAATAAGTGCGCAGATGCACACTCCAGAAAGGGCTCCAGATGCAGGAGAAGGGGTTTGTAAAGCCTCTGAAGCAGGGGTCATGAAGAAACGCTGGTCCTCTAGGGAGCCTGGGGGGCTGTGGGGTAAAGGCCGCGTTGTGGAGCCAGGCGCACAGCCGGCTCCATCACATCACGGGCCGGGGAGGGCCCCTGGGCTAAGGAGAGATGAGCAGGCCTCTTGTGAGGATTGCCCAGAGGAAAGTGTGTGTGTGTATTGTGTATATATATGCACACATGTGTAAATGTATATGCACATGTGCACGTGCCTGTCTATATGCATATGTATGTGTGTATGTGCATAAGGATATGTGTATATGTGCATATGTGTAAGCATACAGATGCACATGTGCATCCTAGTCGCTCAGTTGTATCCAACTTCTCATGACCCGCCAGGCTCCTCTGTCCATGGGATTTTTCAGGCAGGAATACTGGAGTGGGTTGCCATTTCCTTCTCCAGGAGATCTTCCTGACCCAGGGATCAAACTTAGGTCTCCTACATTGCAGGCGGATTCTTTGCTATCTGGGCCACCAGGGAAGCCCCTGGACATGTGCATATATATATATACATATGTTTATGTGTGTATATGTACATGAATGTGTTTGCATATGGGGCTTCCCAAGTGGATCAGACCGTAAAGAAACCACCTGCAATGTGGGATACCTGGGTTTGATCCCTGAGTCGGGAAGATCCCCTGGAGGAGGAGATGGCAACCCACTCTAGTATTCTTGCCAAGAAAAATCCCATGGACAGAGGAGCCTGCTGGGCTACTGTCCATGGAGTCATAAAGAGTCAGATACGACAGAACACACATGCGAGTGCTTGCAAATTTGTATGTGTGTGTATGTGGGCATGCACGTGTGTGATATGTGTACACATGTACAAGCATATTGTGTGCACATGTGTATGTGTTCCTATGCATGTGTGTATATTAAGTATGTGTGTGCATGCACATATGTGTGTATTAAGTATGTGTATGCTTATATGTGATTCCCTGATAGCTCAGGTGGTAAAGAATCTGCCTGCAATGCAGGAGACCCTGGTTCGATTCCTGGGTCGGGAAGATCCACTGGAGAAGGGATAGGCTACCCACTCCAGTATTCTTGGGCTTCCCTTGTGGCTCAGCTGGTAAAGAATCTGCCTGCAATGCGGGGGACCTGGGTTTGATCCCTGGGTTGGGAAAATCCCCTAGAGAAGGGAAAGACTACCCACTCCAGTATTACTGCCTGAATGTGAATATGTGTGTGCGTATGTGTATGCACATGTGTGTTTGTGCATATATGTATGTGCATCTGTGTGTGTATATTTGCATACGAGTGTGGATCTATCCTGGGACACAGTAGATGCTTGACAGATATAAATGCTCTCCTACATTGCTGCCCTTCTGTCCTTTTTGTGCAACAGTGAGTAACTTGATAGAAGAGTATACAGAGGATTTCTAAATCTCTGCATACACGTCACACAGCAATCTCAAGCTTTTTAGTGCCTGGTTCTGTAATACCACCATCACCAGCAACAATAACCTTTCCCTTCCTAAGTCACTTCCAACATGTCCCAGTTATTATGGCTGCATAACAAATCTTCTCAAAACATAGGGGCATAAAGCAACCATTTAACATGTCCATGTATTCTGTGGATGGGGAATTCATGGAGTGTACAGGAGGGGTGGGTGACGTCCGAGGCCTGAACTGAGGGACTTGAAGTCTGGGGGCTGGAGTCGTCTGCAGGCTCCTTTGCACACATGTCTGGGAGGTGATCTTCGTTGGCTGAGAACTGAGTTGGGCTGTCAGTTGGCTTCTTCACCAAGAAGAAGAGTGTCAAGAGAGTGTCCAGTGAAAGCCGCCCCACTGTTTACCACTTAACCTTGGGAATCAGTGTCACTCCAGCACATTCTGTTGGCAAGGCAGTTACAACCTCTGCCAGGTTGAAGAGGGGCAGACAAAGAAGCACGCTGCTGATGGAGGTGTGTTGCTGTCGTGCTCAGAGAAGAGCTTGTGGGATGGGATGCGCGCTGGTGCACCATCCCAGGAAAACGCGATCTGCCGCGTCGTGTGTCAGGCAGCTTAGATGATCTCTTATTCCTCAGAAAACACTGAGGGACTAGCTATACATATCTCCATTCTAGAGATGGACCAACTAAGGCTCAGAGAGGCCAAGTACTTCCTTGGGCAGTATATTTAACGTCTCTGAACCTCACTGACCACCCTCCCCTCTATAAAAAGGGTAGGACGAGCTCTACCTGAATATGACTGTGAGCCTGCAGTGCTCATTACCTTACGGGGTTGTTGGAAAGTTGAAGTCGCGCAAGGAATTTTGTGATCTCTAACCCTCTGTGCCAATGCAGACCACCAGTCTTTATCACTGTAGCATCACTATTTCCTTCCTTCCACCTACAATCATCTGCCCCACAGCCAGCCAAGGAGCAGGGTTTCCACCCACACACCCTCAAGAGAGAGGCATGTCAAAGCATTTTTGGCAACAGTTTGCTTCGATGCAGCAGAAGGATATACCAGCCCCTGTCTGTTCCCATCTTCCAAGGGGAGAGTATCTTCAGAAGAAGGCTAGTGTTTGTTTAAAGTCCAAATGTGTAACTCTTAATACCTCTTATACCTTTAGTCAGTTACAAGCATATAGCCCTTTAGCTGTACTTTTAAAAGGCTGTCTGTTGTACTGAGGGTCTCTCTCCCAGAGGAAAAAGAAGGACCAGCATTTTTGCACTAGGTCACGGGCAGGAATCTTCTGGCTCCTGCGTGGGCCAGGACCATCTTGGAAAATCACCCCTCTGGGGATTCATTCTGGGCCATGTCCTTCATTGTCAATGCTGCATCTGCAAGGTCTGAGGCCTTTAGGCACCCCCTTGGCTATGATGCCCGTTAAACAGACGATTTACTCTCCTGTTAATAGGATTCAATTAGGAAAAGGGGTGGGGGAAGGGAGCTCACTGCTGGGGAGAGTTTAGGGGCCTGAGCACTGCTCTCGTTTTATGGCCCGATGGGCTGGTTGTCTCATAGCAACAGAGGCAGAAGTGAGGAGGGGCTAGAACTCTTTCATTTGGCAGGGCTGAGCTGTGCCCACCTCCCCAGGAGCTGGGGGCACTCATGTGACCTCTAGAATGTCAAGCGGCGGGTGTCTGTGTTACAGAGGTGAGCTTTTAGGTCTTAGAGCTGCACCAGGCTCAGTAGAGAGAGCCCCGGCACTGTAATCTGAAAGGACCAGCTTTGAATCTGGCTCCTGCACTTAGGACTCCCTAGGTGGCTCAGTGGTGAAGAAATCGCCTGGCAATGCAAGAGACCCGGGTTCTAACCCTGAGTTGGGTAGATCCCCTGGAATAGGAAATGGCAACCCACTCCAGTATTCTTGCCTGGAGAATTCCATGAACAGAGGAGCCTGGTGGGCTACAGTCCATGGAGTTGCAAAGAGTCAGATACGACTGCGCACGCACACACATGCATGCATACATGCAGCCTGCACTTAGAGCAGGCTAACTGTAGATGAGTAATTTTAGGCCTCTGAGCTTCAGATTCAGTTTCTCCAACTGACCATTGAGTAAAGTGAGGGGTAGAGATGCTAGGATCATGTCTGATACTTACGGGAGGCCCTATGCTCATGTTTATTTTTGTCACTGCTTTTTAATCCTTCCAACAACCACTTTAAGGATGAAAGCGTAGAGGGAAGTATGTTTTTGCCTTCAAATGTTATTGCTCACTTGTCTCTTCTATTGATGGGAGCAAATCTCTGCCCAGGTGCCCAAACTGTACAGTTTGACCACCAGGAGTCCCCCGGGTCAACCAGGCTTCTCTTAGACCTGGCCGGCTGGAAACAGCTGTGAAACTCTCACTGCTCCCAACCTCTCCTTGGTTGGTCTTTTAAAAGGTGAGTTTCTCTTTTCCTGCCCCAAACCTCCACTATTTCTAACTCTCATCACTACTCTGTACAAAGTAAGGTTTAAAAATCCCAAGAGGCTCAGAGAGGCATCGTGACCTGCCTGGGGTCACACAGTATACCGCTGTCAAAGGCTGAGGGCTTTGGCTGCTGGGCGAGTTGGAAATGCCAGCCCCTCCAGCTGCTGACAGCCCCACCCCTTCGAGCTTCCACTCCTGCTCCCTCCCCTCTGTCGGCAAAAAGAAACTCAATTCCCATCCCAGACTTCTCTGCCAGCCCAGAGAGATTAAGTGAAGAAGAAATGTCTCCAAATAAACCGAGATGGTCTTTCCTGGCTGCTCAGATTTGATGTCTGTGGTTTGAAGCCTGTCGCCCAGTAGATTCTGGGAATCGCAGGGCAGGGGCCTGGGTAACGGCTGCCAGCCCCTGGGCTGGGTACCTGCCCTCTCGAGCTTGTGTCCTGGGGCTGTGTGCTCAGACCTGACCATGTTTGGGCATGGAGGCCCGTCTCAGACGAGAACCAAAGGCTGCTTCCCCAGAGACGGGCTGGGAGCCCAAACTTCCTGCTGCAGCTCAGGCAGCCTCTCTGGGGTGGGGGCTGGGGACCAGGCAGAAAAGGGTCTGCCGAAGACTCGCAGGGCACCCAGGAGACTGTGAGTACCGAGGTCAAGGCCGCTGGGGAAGAGGCTGGGGACAGAGGGGAGACCTTCGCTGAGGGGGGCCGGCAGTGGGAACTCCCTTCCTCGAGGGGCTGGCCGCCAGGACTCTGGGCTCCAGAGGAGCTGATGTTCAGTCACACAGGACAAGAACTGCCGGACCCATGGTCTGGCGGCCTGCGGGGGGCTGCAGGTGGAATGGGGGCTCCTTGGCCCCGTCCCTGTAGTGGCTCAGTGCCCTGGCCCTCGTCTCAGCCTGCAGAGCAGCCAGAGGGCAGCAGCCTGGAGATCAGGACCAGCCCTGGCACTTGTCACCAGGGGAGGGGTGGGGCAGAAACAGACCCAGCAAGAGCACTGGGGACTTCTGATCCAAGCCTCGGGGTTTTCTTTGTTAATAGCAACAGTTAATATTTATCGAGGGCTTGGTTGGGCCAGGCAATGTGATGTCTGGTACATCATTTGATCTTTATCAGAACTCTCGAAAGCGGGTACTATCATGCTTGTTTTACTGTCACAGGCTGCTAGATGGCAAAGCCAGGATTTGATCCCATGCCTGAAGAACAGCCCCTGTCCTCACTCCTCTAGACCCTTAAACATTGTCTTCGATGCCCTGAAAAGGATGTCAACCCAAATATCGGGTTACTCAGGACCCCTCAAAATCCCGCCTTGCTTGGCCCTTCTTCACCTTTCCTCAATCCACCCCAGGCCTCCAGTGACATTTCCAAATGGAGAGCTATATCTCAAAAGTCCAGAGACATTTAGCAGTTCTCAGTTGAGGAGTTCTCCTTCGAGTCTAGCTGAAATCCCCCATTTTACAGCTGTAGCCCACTTCTTCCTGGTCAGACCTCAGGGGGTCTCAGCGGTTCCCACCCTTCCTCCTGCCTAAAGGTTCTCACTATGGATGTTGAAACTTAGGACAACATCCAAATTCACATCCTCACCCTATTCTTTTATCCTGTGTGGTGTTAGGAGGATTTACCAAAACTCTGCTAGCCCCCTCCCTTGGGGTGGGTGACAGTCTTACTAGAGCGTTGCAGACAGGAGGGATCTGAACAAGTGGTTGGGTCCACACTGCTTTATCTCCTTTCCTCCCGAGTGCCCAGGCCTGGCACACTGGGGGTCCTGGGGGAGGGGATGCTATGATGTGGCAGACAGGCTGGTGTCCCTGAGAAGGCAGGGCAGCACCAGTTCCCCCCACCACTCCCCCCTCCCAGTCTCAAGGATGCTCTGACTCTCCCAGGAAAGGACTGGTTCTATTGTGGGCACTCAGCCTAGGTCCTCCTCCGAGGCGTGATTCCGTGTGGACCCCAGAGACGTGCACTCCATAGTCCCAGGGCTGGTGCCAGGCACCAGTGATCCCGGACAGCCCTGGGAAGGAAGGCTGTGTAGGGTTTTTGCCCATCCCTAGGTGGCTGCGTTCTTTAGCCTGCAAAAACATGTGTGGGCTTGTTAGACTGGCCCTAGTTAAATCATGATGTGGGCTGTTCCATTTCCCACAAGATGGAAGGACAGAAGGACAAAAGTAATAGGAAAAGGAATTGAATAGAATGTCTTTCATTGTCAAGAGAATATTTTTCCTTTGTGACTTTGTAGTGTCTGTTAGAATGTACATTCTCCCAAATGTGGGAGAAAAAGTCATCATTGGGTATCATCCCTGTTAATCACCTTGGAGGGCGTGACAGGGCTGTAATCTTGGTATCTGACCCTGGAGTCTCCTTTTTAGGACAGTGGGGGACCGGGGACTACTGCAGTGGGGAAGAAACAGGGTGGAGATCTCTGACTGGACACTCGAAGCAACTTAATAGAAGAGAAGTTGAGTAGAAAATAAGACACTTTGTTGAAAATCCCTTTGAATTAATAATGCCTATCTCAGGAATACTCACTCATTCATAAAAATAATGTTTATTACCTTAGGGACCTGGCAGGGAAAATAAAGTCCTTCCTGATATCTCACTAACATTTCCCCTAATTCAGGCGTTAGAGAGAAAGGCCCCATGGCCCTATTATCTTTGGTAGAAATGTTACCATCAGCAGCAAACAAAAAGCAACAAGAAAGGAATTTACTGAAGGCTACAGGGCAACTTGCTGACTGCATGGGAAGTCCATACCAGCACCGAAGCCGGGAAGCTCGGCTCCAGGAGGCGCACGGGGGGACAAGAGTGGCCCTCCTGCGGGCGTTCGGGGGGGCGGGGCTGCTTGCTCTGGGAGAGGCAGGCTCCAGGAGAAGGATGAAGGGCTTCAGGCTCAAGATGCAGGGAGGCAGGAAGCTGCCCATCACTGGTGCCATTCTGCTTGGGCTCGGGGGCTCAGGTCCCCAGGTTAGAGAGCAGCTGCTGAGGCCACGTGATGCCTCCTGCCCTTGCGGAAAGCAGGGCGGTGGCCGTTTCAGGATCCCCACGGCTGAAACCCCTCCTGTCGCCCCGCTGTCTTGGCTGCCCTCTGGCGGACCTGCTGCCTCTTCTCTGCACGCTAACCCTTGCCCAACCAGCCCTGCTGTGGGACTGGTTTTTTTGAAGTTAATTAACTTTTGACTGTGCTGGGTCACTGTTGCTGTCTGAGGGCTTTCTCTGGTCGCAGCGTGTGGGGGTTAGCCTGGTTGCAGCGCACAGACTTCTCCCTGCTGTGGCTGCTCTCGTGGAGCGGCTCTGAGCGCGCGGGCTTCAGTGGTTGCAGCACATGGGCTGAGTAGCCGTGGCTCACGGGCTGCGTGGCTCCACGCCATGCGGAACCTTCCCGGACCAGGGATCGTCCCCTGCGCTGGCAGGAGGATTCTCATCCAGTGCATCCCCGGGGTGTCCCGTGAGACTGTTTTGGCTCCAGGTTTCTCTGAGACAAGTGTCCTCGGAGGACATGCACGGATATTCCCCCTCTGCTACTTCCAGTAACAGTTTATTTCCTGTATTAGCTTCCTATCGCTGCTCTAACGAATTCGCACAAACTCGGTGGCCCCAGTAGAAATCTACGCATAGACGGTTCTGGAGGCAGAAGTTCAAAGTCAGCAGGGCGCCGGCAAGGCTCGGTCAAGGGGTCAGCAGGGCTGCGCTCCTCCAGAGGATGCAGAGGACAGCGCACAGTTCCCTGCCTCTTCCAGCTTCCGGGAGCTGCCAACCCCCTGGTGCACGGCCGCATCACTCCAGCTTCAGCCGCCTGGTCACAGCCCTCTCTCCTTTGTGTCCCATCTCCCTCCGCCTCCTTCTTGTAAAGATCCCTGTGGTTACCTTTAGGCCTACGTGAATAATCCAGGATAATCTCCCCATCTCGAGATCCTTAATTTGAAGTCTTTGCCATGTAAGTAACAGTCACAGATCCTGGGGCTGAGAACATGTGCATCCTGAGGGCTATTACGAGCCTGTCAGACACTGCGTCACTTTGCGCAAGTCACTTTACCTCTCTGAGCCACAAGTCCTTCATCTGTAGAATGGTGATGATAATACTTGCCTCTCAGAGCTGGTGGAAGGCTTAAATGGGGTCAAAAAGCCCTCTGAGTTTTCCAAGCCCTGCATTGAAAATAGAGATGATGTTGAAAATTGATCACCCTCTCCTCTCACCTGTCACCTGTGCTGATCTCATGTCTGTTTGCCTCTGTGATCCTAGAAATGTCTGCTGTCCCCAGTGGCCATGGGAAAGAAGCTGGTGATGGCCCAGAAGCGGGGAGAGACTCGAGCCCTCTGCCTGGGAGTGGCCATGGTAGTGGGCGCTGTCATCACCTACTACATCCTAGGCACAACTGTGCTGCCCCTCTATCAGAAAAGGTACCGTACTCCCAGGGCTGCTCCCACCCTCCAGCCTCTCCACCAAGGGTCTGGCATCTCTCCTTGTGTTGTATATCTCAAGTGACAGGGAGCTTACCACCTCAACTATGCACACCATTTCATTTGAGGGCCTTTCTGATAAGTAGGGGACTTTCCAGGTGGCACCAGTGGTAAAGAGCCTGCCTGCCAAAGCAGGAGACAGGGGTTTGATCCCTGGGTCAGGAAGATTCCCCTGGAGGAGGGCATGCAACCCACTCCAGTATTCTTGCCTGGAGGATCCTGTGGACAGAGGAGCCTGGCAAGCTATGGTCTATAATGTTGCAAAGAGTTTGACAAGACTGAAGTGACTTAGCATGCACTGATAAGTAGGAAGTGTCTACATTGAGCTAAAATCTGTTCCCCTGGAGCTCTGCTCTGGAATCTCAGAGAATGTCCCATGTCTTTGCTCTCTGACATGTCAACCACATGAGCTGTTAAAGGAAAGACTGGGAAGTTCCTGATCCGTGCTCTAACGAGAAGGAATACGCTCAGTTTTCTCAGCCTGACTTAGGACAAATCTCAGACCCTTGCCTCTGGGCACATTCCAGTGGCCGACAGCCCTCTTCTGTCTGGCAAGGTGTCCCCTGCCTGATAGCTGGAGATGAGTCATTGATTTGCTGATGTGTTGAAGAGCCTGTCAGTCTCTCCTGGGTCTGCTCCTGCCTTACTTTTTACGGTGCTGGGTTTCCAGGTTGGAATCTTACCGAGTGAGGCACTGCTCAGAATGGCCATGTGCCTCCAAGACATTTTCTCTGGGTTCAATGCCATCTCTACCATCTTCCCCAGCTGGGCACAAATCAAGCTCCTCTTCTATCTACTCTTTTTAAGGGAAGGGGCACAGATTCTGAAACCATCCAGACCTGGCTTCAGGGACTGTGTGCCCTTAGCAAAGTCGCTTGACCTCTCTGAGCTTCTCTTCCACCCTCTGCAAGATGAAGATGGTGTTGACAAAGGGTCTGAGGTCCGGCTGCAGGCCAGAGTCACTGCAAAGAATTTTGGAAGCACATCCACCCATCTTAGAAATTCTGGTTCACTTGTTCTGGGGTGTGATTTGGATGTGAGAATCTTTAAATCGAACCAGGGTTTGGGGTGAGCAGTGGGGTCCAGGCCAGTTTATGTAGATATTGTCCAAGAGGCCAAAAAACTGATACTCTGATTTTATGATTGCTCCACGGGACCCAGGGACTCAGGTCACGCTCCTTTAGTGCTGGTTGCTTACGGCAAATGGGTCTTGGTCCTGAGTCTCTCTGGGTCCATGCTGGGCGCCCTGTGCCACCCGTGTCCTGAGATGTGCTTGTGTGTGCGTGGTCTCCCCAGCGTGTGGACCCAGGAATCCACGTGTCACCTGATTGAGACCACCATCAGGGACCAGGAGGAGCTGGAGGGCAAGAGGGTGCCCCAGTACCCATGCCTGTGGGTCAACGTGTCGGCCGTGGGCCGCTGGGCCGTGCTGTACCACACGGAGGACACCCGGGACCAGAACCAGCAGGTACTGACTGGGTGGGGGGTGAGGACGCGTCCTTTGGAGCCTGGTGGGTGTGTGCTTGTCCCCAGCTGGCTCCTGAACCCCCCTCTGGAGAAGAGCGGAGACTGGACAAGGATAAACCCAGTTGACCAGGGGCCACAGCTGGTCTGAGGCCCAGCCAGCCTTAGCCCTTCTGTGCTGGAGTCCGACAGATCCGCCACCGACTGGCTGTGTGACGGGGGCTCGGCCCCGCCAAGCCCTAGTTTCTGTTAATCAATGTGCTGCTATGAAGTCAAGGACTGTGTATAATGTGCCAATCTTGATGCTGGCTGGACAGCAGGCACTCAGAGTAAGCGGCTGGTAGTGTTCTTATTTCATTCTGTAACATGGGTCAGATGAGAAGCCAGGCCCAGAGCTGACCTCACATACAAGAACCCCTGTGACTCCCTGACTGCCCACTCTAGGAGGCCAGAGGCCCACGTTTGGAGCAGCCTTTAGAGGCCAACACTTGGAAAGCGTTTCTATCACTGCCTCTCAATGCCCTCGTCACACCTCCAAATCTACCACTGAAGTCCTTTCTGTAGGAAACACAAGTTGACCCATTTTCATGCATTCATTCATTCAGCCATCATTTCCTGTGTTAGGGGCTGGGTTCAAGACAAGAGAGCTCGTACGTGAAATAATACTGAGCAGAGACGGCTCAGTGCCATAGTGAAGAACAGTGAGGTGAGGGCGTCAGAAAGCCACTGGTCTTAAAATCAGGCAGGTCCTGCTTACACAGAAATGCAGAGGCAGGCACACGTGTCAAGGGGACACAGAGAACATGGTTTGGGGAAGGAAGGTGAGGAGATACAGGATTCCAACCCCCGCATGGACAGTGCTACAGGGAGGGGTATAGCGAGAAAAAGCTTCAGAGGCAGCTTAGGGTCTGTTCCCAGAGGCCCTCCACACCGTCAACGTGTGCAATTAAAATGGGGTTTTGGGGTAGTTTTTCTTTGTTGCTGTTTTTTGAAAGAAGCAAAACTTTAATGAAGAATGCTACACATTATTGAAGGTAATTCGTTCTCATGTTAAAAAATATATTACTGAAAACGTTTTACTAAAATGTTTTTTTGCTTAAAAGACAGTCTTCAAGGATGTCTGAGAGAAGTAGCATGCACAGCACAGTAGGAGAGGAGGAGAGGAGGTTTAACTCCAGCATGAGACCCTGACATAGCACAGGTGTGGAAGCAACCATTTTATAGAGAATGGGGTTAGATGTTTATATTCAATCAGGATTTTTTGTTTGTTTCTTTTTTTTTTTTTTTTGAGCTTTAACAGTTCAGCCGAAGAAAGGAGATTGGGAAGAAAAGATGGGGAAAGGGCTAAGCTTATCCACAATCACCATTTTACAAAACACCACACTGATTCAACCACAGGAGACATGGCTGTGAGTTGTAGCTGTGTAGCCCAGCAAATGCGTACAGCAAATGCCAAGGACCCAGGGTTGATGTAATAGGCACAGTTTTAAAGAGATTGATTCTGTCAGGGTGGTCTCTCATCGACCTGAGCTGGGGACACATGAAGCTCCTTCACATTTTCATCAAAGGCCAGAGCTTTGCCGGGAACTGAGTTCACTCCAAGTAAAGCTCCTGGCGCTGGCTTTAACAGGAAGTAAAGTTATTTGCAACTCCTAATAGAATTCACCATCTCCTAGGGGAAGTTCTACTGATTACCAGGGAGTTAAATTCATGCAAACCATAAAGAAAGGAAATACTAATTATATTCTGGCGCTGTACAAGCTGTGTGCCTGTTTTCTGCCAAGGAGTACCAGACTGTGGAATTAAAATGTGATCAGCGAAGCTGGGGCTCCTCACCTCTGGGTGTTAGGTCCTCCTGGTGGTCTTAGCAAAAGCAGGGTCCTACACCAGACCCACTGAAGCAGAATCTCTGGCCTTTCCAGGTCATTCTAAGTTTCCCTGGGAATTATTGCTGTGAGCAACTAGGAGTCTGTGAAAGGTGTGGGGTGCTGGCCCCATGACCAGAATGATATGGAGGAGTGTGGGGTTCCGTAGGGAGAGAGGCGGGGGCCACCATAGTTGGGACAGAGTCGGGACAAGGATGGATGCTGACACTCAGAACTCGGCAGCTGATGGGTGGTAACTGGCAGGGTGCCTGGGGGATGGTGGGATCGTGAACCGTGCTGGGGGCTCCTGGTGAAGTGGGTCTGGGCAGGCAAGGGGGCCTGGCTGTTCTGTCATCACTAGCATGACTCAGCCATACCAGATGCAGCTAGGGCCTCCGAACCCGCCTGAATCATCTCCTCCCAGGACTCTGCCTCTTCTTTGGCATCCAGGGGCCCCTGATTTATCCCCAGGATCAAGAAGCAAATTTTCAAAGACAAGCAGAAGTGGTCACTGGTGCGATGGGAGTTGGGAACAGGCTGGTTTGCAGGTTGCCAGCTCGGAGGAACTTGAGGTGAGATCTTCCCCCGAATGGGCTCTCAGCAGCCTGAGACCTGCCTGCTGGGTTCGGAGGGACAGCACGGCCACCACCACGTGTTCAATCTTTTCCCCCATAGTACCCAGGCGCCCCCAGGAGTGGTGCTAAAGGCAGGCTGATGCACTGGTGTGACGGAGGAGGGGCCTTCATGGCTTTGCCAAACAGCAGGGTGGTATACCAGCTGCTCTTCCCACCTCTGTTCAGCTCTGTAGTGCCAGGAGCTGGTGCTTCAGGATGGCTGGGTGTCTTCTGGAGTGGCATGTGCAAGGCTGTTTCCCTCTCTATTCTGAGGAAGGAGGTCACCAGCTCACTCTTGGTTTATCTCATGAGACTTAGCCTGAGAGCTTCTAAGCTCCTTTCGAGGGTCTGCGCTGAGGACAGTGTCACCATGGGGCTTGGGAAAGAGGCTGGATCATTTAAGATCCTTTAGACAACAGGTGCTAGTGGTAAAGAACCTGCCTGCCAATGCAGGAGACATAAGAGACGCAGGTTCGATCCCTGAGTCAGGAAGATCCCCTGGAGGAAGGCATGGCAACCCACTCCATCCTAACCCAGTTGGCTAGGTTAACCAAGGTCACAGACAGAGGCAGTGGGGATACTTGAGCCAGGCCCTCTCAGCTCAGGATTCGGGACCCACTTGCTGCTAGGACACTGGGCTTCTCTGGTGGCCTAGATGGTAAAGAATCTGCTTGCAGTGCAGGAGACCTGGGTTCCATCCCTGGGTTGAGAAGGTCCCCTGGGGAAGTAAGTGGCTACTCACGCCAATATTCTTGCCTGGAGAACCCCATGAACAGAGAAACCTGGTGAGCTATAGTCCATGGGGTCGCAAAGAGATGGACACGACTGAGCAACTAATGCAAGGCTAGGACCTTAGAGTCCCCAACAAATCTGAGTGCCAGATTCCTCAGGAGAGAGCGGCTCCCCATGCTCAGCTGCTCCCCGGCTGGCTGCGGATGTGGACCTGCATCTGGATGCAGCTCCACCATCTCTCCAGGCTGTCAGAGCTGCAGTGTAACCATCACCTCTACTGCTGGACTGAGTGCTGTCAGGGCAGGCAGCCTCGGGGCAGGACCTCACTCAAATCCAGGGAATGACCCAGGCCTGGGGAGAAGCTGGCCTGACACTGTCTCTCATTTTGACTCATTTGACATGATTGTATAGGGCAGTGGTCCTCAAACTTCAGGGCCTGAAGGAGTGTCCAGATTTCTGAGCCCCCTCCTCAGAGATTCAGAGTGAGCAGGGAGCCTGTGTTTGTGGCCAGCCCTCCAGGTGGTCTGCTGCGGGGGCTGTGGGGGGGCCACCCTTGCCGAACATCTGCTGGAGGCTCACGTAAGCCACGTGCAGACCTCCCAGGACGGAAGAGAGATAAAGCCAGGGTCTCTCCTTCGTGCCTTCTCTGCAGAGCTTTCCCACTGGAACTCATCTTTCCAGGCCACAAGGTTCCTAATCACAGTGATCAGTGTCAGAATTAAACATATACCGGGCTCTGTCTGCACACAGCTCTTTTAAATGCACTCTCTCTTTCCTTTGAATCCCAGTGTCAAATACCAGCTGGCCAACATCTTGGGTTTTGCTCACACAGAGTTAGACCTCGTAGAGTTTTCAATTCAAATTTTTGCCACTATTTTAAAATTGTGAGAGTCCACATTAAAATCTGGCATTTTGGCTTCTCTTACTATTTTGGAGGCCTGGCTACAGTGGGTCTTCTGGATGGCGCGGCACCCGTCGTCCAGATGGAGTGGTGACTGCCAGGCTGGGTGTGTTTGGCTCTCTCCCTCACCCCAGGCACCACCACGCCCTGCCAGTTCTCTCTGGCACCAAGGCGAGTGCCAGTTGGCGCCTGTCATCTTACTCCCTCACTGCTTCACTTGTGGATGTTACCTGTGTGAGCTTTGTAGGCAGTTGAGTGTATGACCTCTGCCCTGAATCCAAATACAGAGCCTACTCAGCCTATGTCTCCGATTGGACTTCTTAGACAGCTAAGTTTGAAGTTCTTTAATAAACTCCTTTGAAAAAGATACTGCTATTAACCCACTTAAGTGATGAAGACATCAAGGCTCAGTGTGTGTGTTAGTATCTCAGTTGTGACAATTCTGTTTCATCCCATGGACTGTAGACTGCCAGACTCCTCTGTCCGTGGAATTCACCAGGCAAGGATACTGGAGTGTGTTGCCATTCCTTTCTCCAGGGAATCTTCCTGACCCAGGGATCGAACCCAAGTCTCCTGCATTACAAGCAAATTCTTTACCATCTGATCCACCAGGGAAGCCCTGTTAAGCAATTAGCCTAAGGTTCCTCAGTGGCTCAGCTGTAAAGAATCTTCCTGCAATGCAGGAGACACAGTTTCAATTCCTGGGGTGGGAAGAGCCCCTGCAGGAGCAAATGGCAACCCACTGCAGTATTCTTGCGTGGAGAATCCCATGGATAGAGGAGCCTGGAGGGCTGCAGTCCATGCAGTAACGCAGAGTTGGACATGACTGAGCGACTGAGCGCTGCAAGTGTTGGGGGCAGAGCCGGGGCTCCAGCTAGGGTCCCCGCCTCCCAGGCGCAGTGTGCATCCTGGACGGCTCCAAGGCCGCCGTCCTCCCAGCCAGCACTGTGTAGGCACCCCCTTGAGCCACGCAGCGTGCAGCCTGCCAAGCTTTGGGCAGTCTTGAGCCCACTCAGGCGCTCAAATCCAAAGCTGGTGTTCTCCTTTACTCCACACCAGGCCCCGAGAAACAGGGGCTTCAACCCCGCGCGTGCCCTTGACTCTCCCTGCAGTGCTCCTACATCCCAAGCAGCCTGGACAGCTACCAAGTGGCCCGGGCCGACGTGGAGGAGGTCAGAGCCAGGTTCCACGAGCACCAGGACTTCTTCTGCTTCGCCACGACTCGGGAGAACGAGAGCAGCGTCCTGTACCGGCGCCTCTACGGGCCCCAGAGCCTCCTCTTCTCGCTCTTCTGGCCCACCTTCCTGCTGACCGGCGGCCTGCTCATTATCGTCATGGTGAAGATCAACCAGTCCCTGTCCATCCTGGCGGCCCAGAGGTAGATCCACGCACGCCCCGTCACCTCTCAGGCCGCGGGGGCCTGGATGGACCCCGGGGCCACTCCCGCTTCGGTCCCATGCTCCCTCTCCTGCCTTCGCCCCCTCGCCCTCCAGTGCCCTGCCTCCCGCTGCACGGATGGCCTTCAGGAAATCCCTTAGTTAAGTCATTTCCTGCTCAAGACTGTTCATTGGTTCCTCAGGACCCAGGGGAACTGAAGGTCAAACCGTGATGGTTCTCCATCGCTGACCCCACTCAACTGACTCCAATCTGTTTTCTGCTCTTCCACTGTCCACTGGACTGATGCCAATGGCTCTCACTTCTGCGCCTGTGTCTCAGAGGTTGTCCCAAAGACCTGCTGGTCCCTCCTAGGAAGCGCTCCCTGACAAGCCTCCATTCCTTCTTTGAATTCCAAAGTGAAAACAGCACACTCATTAGTGGGACATTGCTTGTTTTCAGCATTCTCAGATCTGTATACTTTCTCATGCCAATATTAACAAATATAGGGACAAACTTCCAGTCTTAAAGTCGTGGGGATATAACTACAACATGGTGACAATAATTAGTAATACTTTCCTGCATATTTGAAAGTTGCTAAGAGAGTAGATCTTAAAAGCTCTCATTACAAGAAAAAAACAAAACTTATTGTTACCTAAACTTACTGTGATTATCGTTTGTTTTGCAATATATAGATATGTCAAATATTTACTTTGTACACTTACAACTAATACAGTGTCATATGTCAATTANAGCAACGTCAAAGCAGGAGACACAGTTTTGATCCCTGGTATGTGAAGATTCCTTATGCTGCTGGGCAACTGAACCTGTTCACCACAACCACTGAGGCTGCTTTCTAGAGCCCATAAGCCACTCAGCCCAGGGGCTAGAGCCGGTGCTCACAACCAGAGAAGCCACGGCAACGAGAAGTCCACGCAGCACTGGAGAGTATCGCCCACTGGTTACAACTAAAGACGTCCACGCGCAGAGATGAAGACCCAGAGCAGCCAAAAAAAATACAGGGCCCTGACCCTGCAGGGGGAGCCAGTCTGAGACTCGGGAAGGGATAATTGGGGGCAGCTGTCATAGATCCACCACCACTCCAAAGCTTGTGCTAGAGCAGGCCGTCTCAAAGTGTGGTCCCTGCACCAGCGTTCTTGGCAGCTTGTGAGAAAGGCACATTCCAGGCCCCCCGCCTGGCCCTACTGAGCCAGGAACCACAAGGCATGGGTGGGGAGTGGCTGGTGGGGTCCCGAGGAGCTGGGCAGCACTCTGCGTTTTAACAGCAGCTGCAGGGGACTCTGTTGTGTCCTTGAGCATGGGAACCACTGGTGCAGAGAACCACGGTCTTGTCCCGGGACTTTGGGGAACGAATCAACGCCTTTTTCAGGTCAAGTCCTCAGCTGGACTTGAAGTTAGGCTGGTGTCTCTGAAGGTCCTCCTGGCGCTGAGTCCAGGTGCAGCCCTGGGAGTGAGTCCTGCCTCCACTTCCGCCAGACGCATCTCTCTCTTTCTCAGTTGTTTCATCTATAAAAGAAAGAATCCCCCTTTTGGGTGGTTGGGAGAGCTGAATGAGGGCTTGACAAACACTAGGTGGTCAAAATGGAGGTTGTTCTTAGTAATGATAATAATGAATGAATATTCAAAAACTTCCAGAGGAAATTATACCAACACTAACGTTAACTAACATTTTTTGCTGCTTATTTATTCCATGCTGGGCACAATGCTAAGAAGTTTGCCTCATAAAAATTCAGTGAGTATTACTGAACCCACCTCATAGGTAAGGAGAAGCAACATAGGATAGAAGTTATATGTGTGGACTGGCTTCAGATTATTATTCAACTGTATTATTCCCTAGCTGTGTGGCTTTGGACAAATAACCTTTCTCTGCCTCAATTTCCTCACTTCAACATAAGAACTAATAATAATATTTCCCATTTGAGGGTTGTTAGTATTAAATGAGTTATTGTATAATGTCCCTAGAAGAGTGACTGACACCTGATGAGTGCTGTATATTATGAAAAACTGAGGCTGTAAGAGGTCATTGGCCAAGGTCAACCAGATAGTAAGTGAGGAACGGGGACTTGAGCCCTGAGCTGTGTGATTCCAGAGCCTGGTCTGTGATTCTTGAGCTGGCTCAGTCACCGGAAGCCCCAGGGTCCAGGTAAGGAACAGCGTTGCATCCTGGGAACCCCAAGGTGTTCTGATGCAAGTCAGGGATCTGGGAGGAGGGGCACCTGGAATCTGTACCCACAACTGTAGTTTGAAGCCAGGGATCCCTGATGCAACGTCACACCCTCCAGGTTCTTACTAGAGACGATCCTTCCAAGGGGAGGAACACCCCACTGCCTGGACCTTCTTCCTTCTGGGCTCAGGGACATCTTAAGAGTCCCGTGAATCTAGGAAGTCTTGTTGGGATATTGTCTTATAGTTTGGTAAGATATTTTCTTTGGAGGAAATTAGGTAAAGGTACATAGGATCTATCTGTGTGTTTCTTTACACCTGCATGGGAATCTACAATTCCCCCCAAATTTAAGTTTAATTTTTAAAAAAGAAAGAGTATCCCCATCATGAATCTCATTTATAGGGGTTTCTTTGCCTATGGTTTTCATGCACCTTCATTTGGGGCTGAAATACACCAAAATACAGACTATCCCAACAGCCCATACAGGGGAAAAGACCACCACCCTTTAGCAAAAAGTACCTGGGGACGCCCAGCCCTAACTGCCCCATGCATTATTAACAGTGAACTTCCTTTGCTTAAGACAAATGCCTTCTTCCTGTCAATGGAGTTTGGCCTCCTTCTATCAAATCCCATACCTGCCGGCTGTTCACAGAACTTCAAGCCCAAGATGAGCATGAGCTAATGGGCATTTAAGCGGAGTCAGACACGGAGGAAAAATGTTTCTGGAATAAGGGCCGCCTGGGGGCAGAGAGCCCTCACAGTTCTTTAAAAAAATCAGTCTAGTGTTGGCTCTGCTTTTGCCTTTTCTCTCATGGGCCAGTGAGTCACACCTGGAGAGGTGTACCTGGATCACTCGCCCAGAACTCAGACGGCTTGGTGGAGATCAGTGGCAAGAGGACAGAGAGAGGCAGAGATGAAGCAGACACAGTGCCTGCCCTCAGGAGCTGGTCATCCTGTTGCCCTTTCTCCCTCCTTTCCCACCGTTATCAAGCGCTTCCTTCTCCACAGTGAAGAACCTGATTTATGCAAATTCAAAATAATGCAATGAAAAATATTGCTAAAACCTCAATTTTTATGACTTCCTGAAATAATGCTAGCTTCCCCCACCCCCATCAACAATTCACCTAAAATTCCTTCTAATTTCAAAACTCCTTGGGTGTGCAGATTGTAGACTGCATTCACTCTATTGCTAATTGGCAGCACAGGCTGGTGCATAAGAATAGCCAATGTCTTTTGCATTTAGAGAAATTTGAATTATATGACATACTTGCAAAGATACTGTCTGATCACAGTGCAGCTATCTTATACCTCATCAGCCACTGCCCTTTCATTTGTAGGGAAAAGAGACCAAATCAAAATCAGAAAGGTGTGAAGAAATTCAACATGGTCTAGGGTGATGTTTCTTTAAAAAAAAATTTTTTTTTAAAGTGGACTATTTGTTAAGTATTTATTGAGTTTGTCACAATATATTTCTGTTTTTTAAAAAATATATTTTTGGAATTGATAGACCCCAAATGCTGCTTCTAGAGAGGAGGCAAGGTATTTGAGGATGTGCAATTGTATCTGTAATGTTCATATGAAGCAAATGTGACAAAATGCTAACACATGAGTTTTGAGGGGTGCTTTCTGAGGAGCACATAGGTGTTTTGTATTATTTGCTCTATTTTTCTGTGTACAAATGCTTTCCCTAAAATAAAAGAGTGAATGGAGACAAAAATATTTTTGGTTTTTTGGCCATGTGGCATGTGGGATCTTAGCTTCCTGACCAAGGATTGAACCCTCACCCCTGCATTGGAAGGAGGAGTCTTAACCCCTGGACCACCAGGGAAGTCCCTAGGGTAATGGTTCTCAAAGTGGAGGCCTGCAAGGTCAAAATTATTTTCATGATAATATTTATATACTGCCTGCTTTTTTCACTCTCAATCTCACCAACACACGTGGAAGTTTTAAGAGCTTATATGACATGTGATATCACAAAAGACTGAACGCAGACATGAGAAACCTGTTGTCTATTATGTGGAACATTAAAGTGATTTGCAAAAGAGGAAAACAATGCACCCTTTCTCAATAATTTTTTGAAAATGTAATTATTCCTCATAAAATATAATCTTTTGTTAACATGTAATGGATCTATCATTTGTTTTAAAATAAATTTATTTAAATGAAACATTCAGAGTTTTCATTCCTAAAATGGTAAACACTGGTTAATATAACCCAGATAAACCAAATCTCTTTTGGAACTCTAAGTATGTTTTTTAGACTGTAAAAGATTCTGAGACCAGAAAGCTCTAGAACTGCTGACCTTGTGTGTCCAGAGACATTCAAGGTCCTCTTGCTCTTCCCACACTGTGCCCTATGTACGTCCAATGGCCTCCTCCAAGTTTCGTGTGATTCCTTCTTGGAGCCAGGAGGAGAGCTTCAGTTTCCCCATCTCTCCTGGATCCAGGTTCTCTCTTCCACCAATGGGTTTACTCATGAATTATCTTCCTGTTCACAGGAGCTTTCCTTAACCTTCATCATGTCAATTTAAAGACAGAATTCATCATCTTCCTAGATTTCCACAGCTCTCCCTTCCCACTCATATAAAGCATGTACTCTTCAGGCAACTTCCTTAAACGCTAGGGAGGATGGGGAAGAGATGTATATAAATGCAGAGCAATCAACTCCCGGCTGAATGTTGGACAAAGGTGGTGCTTCATCGCAATATTTGTGCTTCCCTTCTCAGATACAAAGACTTCAGCCTCCCAAAATCTCCCTCATCTTACCTGGATCACTCGCCCAGAACTCAGACGGCTTGGTGGAGATCAGTGGCAAGAGGACAGAGAGAGGCAGAGATGAAGCAGACACAGTGCCTGCCCTCAGGAGCTGGTCATCCTGTTGCCCTTTCTCCCTCCTTTCCCACCATTATCAAGCACTTCCTTCTCCACAGTGAAGAACCTGACTTATGCAAATTCAAAATAATGCAATGAAAAATATTGCTAAAACCTCAATTTTTATGACTTCCTGAAATAATGCTAGCCTCCCCCACCCCCATCAACAATTCACCTAAAATTCCTTCTAATTTCAAAACTCCTTGGGTGTGCAGATTGTAGACTGCATTCACTCTATTGCTAATTGGCAGCACAGGCTGGTGCATAAGAATAGCCAATGTCTTTTGCATTTAGAGAAATTTGAATTATATGACATACTTGCAAAGATACTGTTTGATCACACTGCAGCTATCTTATACATCAGCCACTGCCCTTTCATATGTAGGGAAAAGAGACCAAATCAAAATCAGAAAGGTGTGAAGAAATTCAACATGGTCTAGGGTGATGTTTCTTTAAAAAAAAATTTTTTTTTTAAAGTGGACTATTTGTTAAGTATTTATTGAGTTTGTCACAATATATTTCTGTTTTTTAAAAAATATATTTTTGGAATTGATAGACCCCAAATGCTGCTTCTAGAG